ATTTATTTATTTATTTATTTTTACACATCTAAGATCATAAACCACACACCAATGCCGCCATACTAAAAACAAGAGAGGAAGGATGTTCGCTCCAAGAAAACATATGGGATTGAAAGGAACATTTGACTTCACATTTAACACTTACCAGTACCCTTGGGCATTACCATTTGTCAAGGCTCTCCATCGTAAAACCCACCTTAAAGAGATATGCATCTTCTCAAAGAAATATATTAGAGGCCAAAGCTTGGCACAGAAACAAGCCACCAATATCTTAGCTCTCAGACCTGCCATACTTAAATGTAAAGAATGGGACCCCAAATTGTGCAGCATTAGCCTCCTAACCTAGTCAGTGTTCAGGCAGAATAATCTCTTTTCTCTCATCTGACTGTTTCTTTTTAATTCTGTGCACCACTGTCCCAGTTATAGGAATTGGTTCCTTCAGCCTTCTGGTGTAATTATGGCAGGCCCCACTTGCATGTGCTTTTCTCTCCAGCAAAAGGAATTGAGTCCTGGAGGACTTGAGGCAGATTCACCAACATCAGTCCAGCTACTGATATTTAAGCCTGGACTGGAATCATGAATCGCTGGTGAATTCTGAATGCTGCTGCCATGTTTTTGCAGTATTTGCAGTGTGCTTCAGAACGCAGCCTTTAACTAAGCCAAAGATTGGTTGTTGGTTAAACATGCCTCTCCACACCTTCCATTTTACCTTGATTTCCCTGCAGTTCCCAAAGCTCTCTCTCTTCTAAAGTGGAATCCTTTGTTGGGTCAAAGATCAGGAAGTCTGTGTTGGTGCCACCAAATCTCAAGAAGCCTGGAGACAATCCTTTGGCTAAGGTGCGCAGCTTGTGATTGCTGTGGGAGGGAACATGGAGAAACTGAACAAACATCCTCATCGCAATCCAGCAAACCAGGCTTATTTGTAGAGATGGAGTCTGAACCAAATCCTTGGATTTAAATACCAGAGACATTCAGATCCAGACCCACACTTCGCAGCACATGGCCTCAAGGGCAGAACATGTTCCCATTCCCTTTTATATCCTAAGTCATGTTACTACAGAGGTGGGAAAAATACAGCCCATAGACCAGATTTGGCTTTTTAAGGGATTTTGTCCAGCCCGCAGCAGGTCCCTCTGCCCCACCTGACCCAGGTCCAGGGAGCAGCCTGGGTCATGGTACGTGCAGCCAGTACCACTGTCCCCAGGGATGCAGCAGGGCTGGGGTGGCATGGCAGCTGGACTTGCTTCCTTGCAGCCTCTGAAGCAGCAGCTCCTTCCAGCTGCTGCTGCCAGTTTCTGCTGCTCAGCTGCCCAGGCACCCCATCCCATTTGCTCCACACCTAGTGTTGGAGGTGCTGGATGGAGCGGGTGGGTGGGGTCTCCATGGAGACCAACCCAGGACATATGTGGGCAGGGCGTGTGGCTGGGTGGATGGAATGGGGCCAGGGATGGGCAAGGAGCAGTATCCAGGAGCAGGATGGGGGGTGCGGCTGGGGCCAGGATCAGGGGATCGTGACAGCATGGGGTAGGGGCCTAGAGCAGAGCCGCCATGTGCTGACCGCATGTCCCTGCGATGGGTGTTAGTTCCATGGACAGGGGCATGCTGGGAGCAGATTGCAGCTCTGTCCCAGGCCCTGGCCCCACACTGTCACCACAGTGATCCTGATCCCAGCCCCAGCCCTGCCTGCCAGTCCCACTCCCTGACACTGCTCTCCACCCACCCATGGTCCCATCCCATCTGTGTGCTCTGTCCATGTGGTCCCAGACCAATCTCCATGGAGACCCTGGGATCACCAGGTGGTGACCGTGTGGGGCTGGGCCCTGGGGTAGAGCCACTTAGGGAGTTTTGGTGAGCTGTTGTGGTGGGAGCAGGTGCTGACTCAGCCCGCAACAGCTCACCTCAAACTCCCTAAGTGGCCCCCTGGCCCAAATAATTGCCCACCCGGTGTTCCTCTTTGTCTCCTTCTACGCCCATCCATTCGCACACTGCCTGGGTTGGCTACAGCATCCCCATATCCATACTCTATTACCATGTCATGTAACAAGCTGCCCCTACATCACTGGACTGGCATATGCAGGAAGTCGGTAATTTTGCAGGTGAGGCAGTGCCTCAAGGAAAACCCTCACTATCAAGGAAAAGTAGCCATAGATGTGGGGGATTGGGCTAGATGACCCTCAGTGTCCCTTCTACCCCCAAAATTCTGTGGATACAATTTGGACAGTTCTTTGCAAATGTAAGGTATTTATTGTATATTGTGCTCTGGTTTTCCCCTCCCTTCTTCACCCAAAATGCTAACAATTGGAGGCAATGACAGACCCCATATTTCAGGCTTGAATGCTGGTACCAGCATATAATGTGTTTTCTCTTTGTATTTTCTTAGACCAAACAAAGGCCTTAGTTCTACAAGAAAGTTGCACTGCTTTAATTTAAAACTGATATTAAAAATGGATCCTGCATTGACTTCTGCTAAACCCACATCAGCCCCTTTTAAACAGTTGAAGACAGTCCACACAGGGGTTCACACCTGTTTAACTCTGCAGCTTTCAAAGAGCATTAAACTAAGCTATGGAATCTTCTGCGTTCAGACAGGCCTTCCCCTGGAGTAACAAGCAGGACTTGTGTTCCCAGAGCGCAGCCGCCACTACACAGGAGGAACAGAGATACTTCCCTAGCATCTAGCCACCAACTGCACTGGTACTATTTATCTCCATTATGAGACAACACATAGGAGATTACCAGCCACTAACAACTTCCTTCTGGTAGCAGAAAAAACTGACAGAGCTGGAATCAGGAGCTTTTTGATTGGCAGCTAGCTACTCTGCTTTCACTCTGCTGCTGAATATCAGAGAGGCCTGAAGCACAGAGCCACTGCACCTTCTCTCAAACAGGTTGGAAGACACTTCCTTCCCCTCCTCTTGTTACATCACCAGCGGAAGAGCAAGTGCATAAGTAAGTACCAGGCTTTTGGGAAATAGCTCAGCTCCAGGATCTCATTCCCAGGGAGTGGAAAAAAAAGAGACAGGCAACCAGGAAGAACCCTACACCACAGCAGTTTTCTCTGGTGGCCAACATGCAGGAAAGACAGAAAAAGCAGGGAGAGGGGAATGTGCTCTCTTCCTGGGTAGAGTAACACTCCATGAGACAGTTACTGCGCATTAGCCTAATAACACTGACCAGTAGCATGTCATGGCAAAAACCACGATAATAGCCTGCTGTGCAGCGTTATTAGGCTAATGCACAGTAAGCATCACTAAATAACCATGTGCTGGTGCTACTGCACAGTAACTCTAGGTATTGCTCATTTAGTTAGTATTTTAGTATTAAGGAAGTACAAAACTAAATGTGCAGTATCTAAGGCTCATCAATGGATATGTAGATGTACCCAGTGATTCTCAACTGGGGTGGGTGGTGTATATACTTTTCAGGGTGCCACACAATAGCAGCACTATTTGGTGTGCAAACACCTGCACGTGATTCACAAGGTAAATGCAGAGATTTCAACTAGGAACCCAGGGTGTGAGAAACACTCTGACCTGCCCTGGTCTTTCTGAGGCCTTTGACACAGAAGCATGGCTCTGTGATTTTTCCAGTCACAAAATGAGCAACAAGCAAGAACCGGCATTTTCCGAGGGGGGTTTTGAGAGGGGTCCCTCCAGTCTCGAAAGGCCCATGAGGGAAAGAAAAGTGGGACACGGCACAGGAAAACAAGGCTGGGGAGATGAGGACAGAGGGCACTGAGTGAGGGGGCACAAAGGAACAGGGCACACAAAGAATGAGAGGGGTCTGCTGCCAGCAAAGGGATGAAAAGGAGGGGAAGGAGATGGGAAGGCTGGGAGCCACAAGGAGAGGAAAGCAGGCAGAAGAGCTGAAGAAAAGGCTTCTGGTCAGAGAAGGAGGGTGAGAGCTGAGGAAGGAGCTGCAGGAAGCCAGGCTGAGTCCGGGGCTGAGGGCGGTTTCCTCGGGGGCTGGGGAGACTGCAGAGGTGTCATAGCAGGGCTCATCCTGCCTCAATCAAAGGGCAGAGGGAAGGAGTGGGGCTCGGCTCCTTCCTCCCCGCACAGCCGCGGGGCCGGCACTGGCGGGACATTTCGGGTCCCTCGGGAGCCGCACTCACCCGAGCAGCGCGATATACTGCGGCGCGGCGGCCAGGCTGGCGTCCAACGTGAGGGACAGAAAGGCGGCGCTCACCTCGGCGGCCGGCGGCCCGCGCAGCGCCGCGCTCAGCT